TCTTGAACTTCCTGCGGGAGTTGATGCCGATGACGCGACGCTCGGTACCCTCGATCTTGTAGATCTTGTCCATGGCCTTCTCGTCCTCCTCGGTGACGATCTTGTTGGCACGGTCCATGGTCTCACGGTCCTCACCAGTCTGGAAACGCCATTGGATGTACTCGGAAGGAGTCTTGTCGAGGTGGTGGTCGATATGGGCGAAAGCGTGCTGCTTAATGTAGGCAATACGGATGTTCTCGTGGTGGTAGATCTCACCCTTGGTGGGGACAAGCTCACCAGTCAGGACGTTGACAAGGGTGGACTTTCCGGCACCGTTGGGGCCAATGACGGCAATACGGGATCCGAGCGAACATTGGAAGGTAATGTCCTCAATCTGAGGCTTGGAGGTACCCTCGTACTGGAAGCTCATGTTGGTGGCACGGAGAATGGCCTTGGCCTTGGTCTTGACACCCTCAAGGAAACCGGGCTCGGGGAACTTGAACTCCATGTCGGAGGCAGCGAGCTCGTGGTAAGACTTGGCAGAGGGCACACGCTTGACGAAGTCGTCGAGGTTACCACGGTAGCGCTTAAGCTTGAAGCGCTCGTAGTGGATAACGTGCTGGATGACGTTGTTCAAGAACTTGCTGTCGTGAGAGATGACAATGGATGTGCAAGGGGAGCTGGTGAGGTAGTCCTCGAGCCACTTGACGTTCTTGACGTCCAAGTGGTTGGTGGGCTCGTCGAGCAGCAGAATGTCGGGCTTCTCGAAGACAGCACGGGCAAGCGCGAGCTTCATCTTCCATCCACCAGAGAGAGCACCAATGGTACCGTTGTACATGGCGTCGGTGAAACCGAACTCGTTGAGGGTGGTCTTGACCTCTGACTCAGGGGTCTCAACACCGACGGACTTGAGCTTACCCATGGTCCACTCAAGAACGGTCATCTCAGTGTCAGCAGAGTCCAAGTCGTGCTCGACGTAGACGGTCTTGACCTCGTTCTGCTTGGGGAAACCCTCGACCTGCTCGTTGTTGATAGCGCGCATGAGGGTGGTCTTTCCGGAACCGTTGGGTCCGAGGAGACCGTAACGCTGACCACGCTTGAGACGGAGATGAGTCTGGTTGAGCAGGATCTTAGCACCGTAGGCCAAGTTGAATGTGCAGTTGCAGAGATCCTCGCCCTCCTCCTCATCAGGCTCGACGGCGCGCTCAGCGGCGGCACCGGGGAGAGATCGCTTGCGGGTCTCCTCAGTAACCTCCTTGGCCTTCTCGTCACCGACAAGGACGGCAACGAAAGGACCGGCGTTAGCCTGCCAGTTAAGAGGCTCGTAGTCCTTCTCGTCGATCAGCTGACCACCAATGGCACCAACGTAGTTGACGACAGGGGTGAAGCGGTCATCGATCTTGATGCTGGAGGGGATAGCGGCCTTGAGGTGGTTGGCAATGGTGGAGATGTCACCAGACTTCTCGATCTCAGGGATCTTGCCGTTCTCGACGTGACCGACACGGATGAGGGTGTCAAGACCCTGGCGGGTCTTCTCACGGGCCTCGGGGTCAGCCAAGTTGTCGTGGTTCTTCTCAAGCGCGGGCATGAGACGGGGCAAGAAAGCGGCGACAATCTGGGGGTCCTCGACAAGCTTGCACATGTTGTCAATAATGACGGCAGACTTACGCTTGATGGCAGTCTCGCGCTCGACGAGACCACGCTCAAGCAGGGGAACCATGATGGCGAGGGTGGGCTCGTGGACATCAGTGACGAAAGTGGTGGCACCGAGCAAGTGAACGGTCTCGGGGACGTTCTCAGGCTTAGCGATACACTTGATGAGCTCGGGAATGAAGCGCTCGATATCCTTGTTGGAGATCAAGGAGCAAAGAGTCTCCATAGTGCCGTAGGCAGCCTTCTTGACCTCAGGCTTGGTGTCCCACATGGCTCCCGAGATGACGGGAATCAGGTCGGGGACACGGAAGGCCATCTGGGCAGGGGCGCTCTTGGTGAGGGCCTCAATGCACTTCAGGTCGGTCATCTTCTCGGGCCACTTTTGTGCGTTCTCGAGCGAGTTGATGATGTGGGGGATGATGGCCTTGACGGCGTTGGGGTTGGCGGCCATGACGATGGACTCGGCAGCGGTCTGAGCAGCGACCTTGACGCCGCTCATCTTGTCACCGACCGCGGCCAGCACGTCCGGCAGGAGGGAGACGAGGTAGGGCTCGACCGAGGCGGAGACGTGCGAGTGCTGGGCGATAGCACGGATGGCATCGAGAGCGCGCTCGCGGGCGACGGCATCCTTCTTGCTGGCGAGTTGCTTCTTAAGCACCTGGACAGCCCTGCGTGTTTGTTAGAGACTGCACTGTGGCGGGGGAGGGGCAGAGGGCCAACATACTTGGTGGGAGCGTCAGCCTCCTCAATGTCGCCGTTGATGAAGGTGGCGATGGCCTGAGCAGAGGCGTTGATCTCGTCCTGGGCCTTGGACACGGTCAACTTCTGCATCATCTCCTCAAGCGCCTTGAGCGACTTGGAGTTCTCGGACTTGATGTCCTTGGCATCATGCGAAGCAGCAGGCGCCATGTTGTCGGTGTAGGTAGAGGGGGGAGGTGTAGAGAGGGTGGAAGAGGTAGGTGGGGTGGTCCTTATATATGGACTTTGGCGGGGCCTAAAAAACTTTTGGCGCGAAAAGATAGAGTGAATCTATCCGGGGGGTATCAACGCGAGGAATCTGACTCGCAACCTTTCTATGCTACCGGGCACAACGACAGAAAGAAGTGAAAGGGAGTGTGAGTGGAGAGAAGCGGCTGTGAAGGCTCGACGGGCTCTTTAAATTTGGCCTGTCTGTTTGGTGGGATGGTGGCTCGCTTTGAGATTTTCGCACGGGCCAGATCTTATCGCGCTGAGGAACCCGACACCAGCTTCGCCGCCCAGGCACGCCTACCTAGGAAAAAACTGAACAGCCTAGAGCCTACGTTGACGTTAGGTCACCTACTTTGCAAGGTTTTAGCTTAATGTAGCCTGCAGACCTGTTTAGTTTTTTTCTTGTATGAGGTGCAGGCCTTTGCGCAATTATTTCCCTATGATCTAATTCGCATCCTATTCCACGCCAAAATTTTCCTGCTCGCCGCATTCCCCCCAGTTCTCTAGTACTCCCCGCAAGTGTCTACTTCTGTTTCTTCACAACAGAGGGGCAGCAGCTTTGCCGCCGCCGGAGCCATGTTGCAGCCCACGTTGCAAAAGGCCATCTATGTGTGGCGAGTTTGGGTAAGGCGCGCTGACCGCCTTCTTCAACAAGACACCGTAGCCAACGACATGCAGCCAACGGTTGGGAGCCGCGGGAAATGCGCGCTGAAGATCAGGGACTGCACTAATCCAACCCGACCGCCATGTCAGCATCCTTACAATAGAGCACACATTTCAAGCCACGCCATCTACAACACATTTACTGCCAACTCTTCCACCTCGGCCTTTGAAAACACCACAGTATACTACTTCTAGCTCAATCTACGGGCGTTCTCTTACTGATGGGGTAGCCTTGCCGGCCACTATTCGTACAGCCCTGCCAAGTCGTCGCGCTACGGCCACAAGCGGAGGCTCCAGACTACTACCTCCCCGATTCTGCCGAAGTCGAGACAGCAAGCGTTTCTGGTACCCTCGCCACCCTGCGTAGACCACCGCCGAGCCATCACCGGCACCACGCCGTACTATACCAGAAGTATTCGAGACGGTAAAATCTTCCGAGACTACTTGTCAGTATAGTGCATGACATACCGAATCTGACCGCCCTGGTGTCGCCGTGTTTGTTCCCTGTTCATAGGATTACTAACATGACCCTTACGACGGCCCGTGACGGATGCAGAACACAACTACGAAAGAGTTGGACCCTGACGATGTCGAATTGTTAGCCGTATGCGAACCATCGCGCAACCATATTGCGCTCCGCAAACCCCCACTTCTTATCGATACCCCGGATTTCGACGTGTCAGAGTTCCTCACAGTACGCTTGTACCAATCCGTCAAACTTCAAGTCTGCGCATTCACGGCATTCTTATCAGTGCCAACGGCACCTTGTGCTGTTGGATTATACTTATTCACGTTGTGCGAGCATTCACTCTGTCGTCTGTTCCGAGGCAGTCGCGTATAAGTCAATTCACGTCACTCACCATAAAAGCATGCAGAGCGTCTTCGGATCCGATGCAGACAAAAGTAGCACCTCAGACGAGGGAAAAGGTAAACGCTCTAGAGCCTACATTAGCCCTAGATTGTCCGGTTTGCGTGTTTTACTCTCGTGTAGTCCGTAGACATGTTTAGCTATTCCTTTGTGTACGATAGTAGCGAACTGCGAAATCTGACCGGATTAGCCTCAGTATGGCGTGGTCAATAGCTGCTACAGACAGAGTCAACAATACCCAAAGCGCACAGAAACAGTCATTTCCAAAGAACTGGAGAAGCTTCTTCAGATGACGTTGTTGACGACACCCGTATCGATGTTCCCAGGGAGCAGACCTTTTGCATGATCATTAAAACGGCGCCGAAGATCTGACCGGGGCGATATCAATAAGAAAAATCCAACGATATCTCAGCAATGTACATGTGTCTGCAGTCATACAGCAATATCGGGTAAGTATTAAATAAGACATCGCGGTGGACTAGATAGTGTTCGTTGCGGTCAATGTAATGTCAGCTACACAGACGAACTCCAGGATGGCAGAGTGGTCAGTGCTGGCGCTCCAGCCAAATTTCCGGTCATGTCCGACTCCACATCCACGACCAAATCGCTCACAGCTCAGCCGCAATGCGACCCATGTCTAACCCGTTGGGTATGATCAGTCTCCGCAGACATGTGGCGCGCGCAGTCAGCTCCATACGAGGGCAAGTCACACTTAAAGCGTGCGTGTGATGCCGCAATCGCACTGGCCTGACCATCTGCCAACCTGCCCCTCCCCCACCGTAGGCGCAACCACATTCCACATCTCTACCTAGAGCCTTCGTACATCTTTTCTCTTTAGACATCAATATACATTACATTCAAGAACAACATGTCAGGCCAGGATTACTACGGTCAGGGTCAAGGCCACGATCAAGGCTACGGCTACAGCCACGGCGGCGCATACCAGCAGCCCCAACAGCCGCAGCATGGCTACGGAGAGCATAACCAGGGCTATCCTCCTCAACCTCAGGCGTACGGACAGCAGCCGCACGACCAGTACGGCCAGGGACATCACAGCCCCTACCCGCAAGGACAGGTCAGTTTTATTGCGCAACCTCGGCGCATTCTATCCTCCAGCCTTCAGCTACTCACATCACTGTAGAGCTCCTACCCCCCGCCGTCGCACGACCCTTACGGACAACCTCCCCAGCACGGCTATGGTGCCCCGCCCCAGGGCCAGTACCAGCAGAGCTACGACCCAAACCGCAGCACTTCTCCCTACCCCCCTCAGGGCCATCAGCAGCAAGGCTACCACGACCCGAACCAGCAGTATGGCGCGCATCCACAACAGGGCCATCACGAACCGCAGCAAGGCTATGGTGCGCCGGCATATGGGCAACCCGGCGTACCCGGCGGCCCTGGCGAAGGCGACCGCGGCCTGGGTTCAGCTCTGATGGGAGGTGCAGGCGGCGCGTTCGTGGGTAACAAGCTCGGAGGCGGCGCGCTGGGCACGCTTGGAGGAGCGCTTTTGGGGGCGGTTGGCGCCAACCTCATTCCTGACAAGTAAGCCAAATATGCACCCGAGCGCTATGGCGGACATTCTCTAACATGACTCTAGAAAGGAAAAGAAGCACAAGAAACACAAGAAGCACGGTAGCTCTGAGCATGGCTCACACCACGGCTCGCACCACGGTTCACACCACGGGTCTTCGCATCATGGATCGCATCACGGATCCTCGCACCACAGTCATAGCCACAAGAGCCATAGTAGGAGCCGTAGCAGGGGCGGCAAGAGCAGTTCCAGCTCTAGCAGCGACTCGGACTAGAGATGTTGCGAATTTCGAGCGATTCCGGCTCAGTAGATGCAGAGCGCACGCTGTGATGGTGAGGCCATAGTCATAGTTCTCTTGAATAAGATTTATCATAAAGCTGAACACGTGCTCATCTGCGCAAATGCCCGTTTCACTGTATTAATGCGCCCGAGCCGGCTCTGCTCATACGTGAAGTTGAAGTCGACAGCCAACTGTGCGCATGCCTGCCATGGACCTGGAAGGCTGGTATGCCTTGCATGCAGATGTGGATCAGACCCTGTTGTCCCAAAGTGGTTAGGCGTGCCACCAGACAGCCCTTTCCAAGGTTTTCTCCACTCTTACTCATCGCCGCAAATTCCAAAAGCAGCCCCGCAACCACGCTATCAAGATGCAAAATTAGTGGAAATAAGTTTATAACTTCCTTTAACAACGTTGACGATAACTTGCACGACACGGTTCCACTTCAAAAGTTACTCCAATCAGCATAAACATGGCGGACGTTTTCCTGGATTTCTTCCGCAGTTCACTACCGGACGAACTCGCGGCAGTGCTCGAAACGACCATCACATTGACAAAATCGGGAGATTTCCTAGGCGTACTCCAACTACCAGAAGCGCAACTATTGCTGGGATATCAGGACAATGAAGCCACCAAAGACGTTAAGACGAGCGACTTTTCTCTTTGGAGCGACTACATCTTCCATCGCCTAGGACTGCTTCTGTCGAAAGGGAACGAGGAGGAGTCTACTCCGATAAAGGAAACGTCAGCATACCGGCAGCATATTTACTTCCTTATTGCCATCGCGGCATTCCATGCATTCCTGCAGTCGAATGTCACTGGACCACCACTACCCTTCAAGTCTGCTGAGACGCTGTTGTCAAAAGACGTCGCAGATGATGCGAAACTTCTCAGCAAAACGCGCGCGGATCTTATTGCATCGCTGGGTGCAGATGGTGTTGCGGCATACAAGCTCACACCAAACATCGAGCTGCTGTGCCTTGCGCACACCATCCTCATCAGTCCCCCGATTCAAAAGAACATTCCGGTCTCGGCATGGGCGCGTCTTAGAGTGAACTTTGTGCATCAAAGGCTGCTCAGCGAGCCGGCGCCAAGTCTACAGGATGCTATCTACGAGGATTTGAAGGTTGTGGAGGACTTGATTCAGAACTCAGGAAAGCACGGAGAGATCAAGGACTTGCATACGACCTTCCTTCTGGAGCGAGCAGCGATCCATACGCATCATGGTCTAGATAAGAAAGCCAAGGCGGACCTTGAACAGGCAACCTCGGAACGAAAGTTCGAATTTGCGTTGACTGGACTAATGGGCAAGAGAACGAAGTTCCAACAGAAGGACACCAGTCAACTGATCGTACTCGCGCGAAGTGCGGGATCGGAAACCAACAGCACACCTGATGAGAGTTCAAAACCAAAGGCTTTAGATCTCAATGACGATACCCTGCTGGAATCGATTTCATTTACCAACAACACTGCATCCATGGAGATCAAGGATGAGTCAAGTCTACCGGCATCGCTCACATCCATGGACCCATCAAACCAGCCATTGCTTGACCCGCTAGACTCCGTCATCATGCTTTCGCTAGCTGAAAGCATCAAGAACACCAATCCAGCAGATGGTCTCACAAGAGAACAGACAGAACCATATGCCACCCGAGTACTAGAAGGCGGAAGCTCGAACTGGCAAGTCTACACCCAAGCTCTGCTTGTGAGGAGCCGTATTGAGGGCTACAAGTCGCGGACTATGGAGCGTGGTCTCCTCCAGCTTCAAGCGCTGGTTGATCAAGTCATCGCAGAGACCTCGGGTGATGCTACTACCGACGCCGAAACTGGCGAGAAGATCACTTCGTTCCTCCCACAAGCGAAGGAGAGCGAGTCTGCATCCGTTGAGGAACGCCTCCGTTACGTGTTCCCGCTCTGCTCCCCATCTCGTTGGGAGCTTGAGTCTGAGCTCGCTGCGCGATGGGTTGCCCTCGGCGGTCTACGATCTGCGCTCGAGATTTACGAGAGACTAGAGATGTGGGCTGAAGCAGCGCTGTGCTATGCTGCCACCGAGAAGGAGGAGAGAGCACGCAAGATGATTCGACGACAGCTTTTCCATGCCACCAATGGCGATGACGAGAACGTAGACTTGGACGAAGAGAAGTGGGAGGGTGCTGAGCGGGATCCACCACCAGCCGAAGCACCGCGCTACTATTGCATTCTGGGCGACATCGACAACGATCTCTCCATGTACGAAAAAGCCTGGAATGTCTCCGGTCAACGATACGCGCGTGCTCAACGCTCCCTCGGTCAACGCTACATCTCAGCACGCAACTACGAAAAGGCCGCAGAAGCCTACGCACTGTCTCTAAAGATCAACGCGCTCTACCACCCCGCCTGGTTCGCGCTCGGATGCGCCTACCTCGAGCTCCTCCAATTCAAGAACGCCGTCGAAGCCTTCTCCCGCTGCGTGCAGCTCGACGACCAAGACGCCGAAGCATGGAGCAACCTCGCAGCCTCCCTCCTGCACCTCAAGCCCAGAATCCAAGAAAACGCCGACGGCGAACTCCAAGAAACACGCGTAACAAACCACCCCCGCACCGACGCCCTCAAAGCATTCAAACGCGCCGCAACAATCAAGCACGACAACTACCGCATCTGGAACAACGTTCTCGCCGTGAGCGCCTCCACCAACCCGCCCTCCTGGGCCGACGTCGTAACAGCCCAACGCCGCATCTGCGAGCTCCGCGGCTCGACCGAAGGCGAAAAGTGCGTCGACGCCGAAGTCATCGACATGCTCGTCAAACACGTAGTCTCCGCCGAAGACGGCTTCGACATCACGCGCCCCGGTCTCCCGCGCCTGGTAAACGACCTCATGGAAAAACATATCAAGCCCCTCATCACCGTCTCCCCTAAACTCTGGCTCATCCTCGCGACTCTGTACACGCACACGCAGCGCCCCAGCTCCGCGCTTGAATGCCATGAGAAGGCGTGGCGGGCTGTGACGAGCCAGCCGAAATGGGAGTCGGGGTCTGAGGCGGAGTGGACTGCGGTTGTGGATATGACGATTGATCTTGTGGATGCGTATGAGACGTTGGGACCGAGGGAACGGACGGAGGGGTTGGCGGGTGGGAGTGGGGAAGTGGTGGCGAAGGATTGGAAGTTTAAGAGTAGGAGTGCGGTTAGGAGTGTTATGGGGAAGGGCAAGGAGAATTGGGAGGATAGTGCTGGGTGGGAGAGGTTGGTGGAGAGGTTGGTGGAGAGGTTGGAGGAGTTGAAGGGGAGGGAGTAGATGGGTTGGTGGGTATCTGGTGCTGTAGAGACTTGTTGATGATGAAAGATATAAAAGCTTGTTTTTCTATTGAGACTTTCTATGCGTGTGATGATATGCTACTGTTTCTGGTAGAAGACTTTCATTGTGCGTGTAGGGCCGAGGCGACCGGGTGTGGTGTTATGAGTCGGCATTTGCATCTAACCCTTACCAGGAGCTGCTTCACATCAAAATCTGGGACAGGAATAAATCGTTGACGACATCTATAATGCCGACCCTCCATGTATCAGCATTTAGCGTTTCCGCAACAATGTGTCACAACTAGACGATTACTGCCCCTAGAGCCGCAAAGTATTAATGCACCTACCAAATGGCTGAGACACTCAGGGGGTGAACGAAGGACGCAAGACATAACCGTTGAAGACGTTGCACACCAATCGTTAGAGCGAAAAGCAATGTCTCGCAGCGGAGATACCTCAAAAGTGCATCTGCTCTCCCAGCGGCAAGCTCGGGAAAGGTTCCTGGGTAAGTAGCGCGCCGTGGTTTGTACCACACTCTGCGCTGTCGGTAGTCCCTACCGTGTCAGCATAGACTGCTGCCCAAGAGCAACTACCCTCTTAGTTCGTGTGATGCAAGCTACCCGTCTAGGTGCATAATCAGAGCTGAACTCTTTCCCCACACCCGCTCTTCCGGCGGCCAGACCTGGTATCCGGGTTGTCTCGCCCCTTACTGTGGCGACCGAGAAGGTTTGGTGTGATGGGCAAAGTAAGAACAAACCCGACAACCGGGTTCAAAAGGGCGTGCTTTACGAATCAATTCCGCCGCGGAAGTTCGGCTGCTGGCCGAGCCTGTGAATGCGAAGGGGTTGTATCGTGGTCAGAGTGGCCATGCTCATCTTGGATAGTTGCATAAACTCTATTTCGGCTCGGTACCGAGGTGTTGGTTGAACGCTCTTTATGTCGTGAAGGGCCATGTAAGATCCATAGACTATTGGCCAATTCTGAGATTACTGAACTGCGTGGCGATTAGATGCGTAGCAAGTAGCAACAATGTAGCAGGTGCATTGCTGACAAAATGACATCCATGATGCGTTTGCGCAAGAGACCCACCCGAATGCTTTTGGATTAGCCACCATGGGGATTAGCTAAAGCGGGTCGTCTCTTTTATGGTGTAGTGAGTGCGACGTCCGAGAGTCTTGTGCTCAGTTCGTGGAACCAGACCAGTGGCCAATAGCCAGAGATCTGCTCGCGTACAAGACCCGTTGCAAGGTTACACACGTTCGCCTTCTTTGCGATCGACGACGATGTGTTGTCAAACAGTTCATCTTGAGATCGTTGGCAATTCGTGCGGGATTGAGTGGTGGACGGCGTCCTGGGATTTCACCAGGCGTTGAGATGCCCAGGCAATCTCTGTATTGGGTCCACTACACTGGGGCGGCTGACTGCATGCCTCTGATATTGTACGACCATCACCCGTAAGCGCGTTTCA